CTGCCCACCAGTTAACCAATCCCCAGCCATTTTACACCTTAAGAAAGTTGTTTCCACCGTGCGGGTGACTGTCAGTTGTCTTTTTTTTGTTGTTGTTGTAACATTATGATGATGAGTCTTCACATTTTCCCCTTATATACTGAATTTGTTCTGTGGTTGTCAGGCATGCCTCCTCCACTGGGCCACCGTCCAGGCATCACACACATGGCCCAGGTCCCCTCTGCTGCTAATGTGCTGACGAGACCTGTGGTTCCTGTCGCCACTGGCCCTTCAGTCCAGCCTGATATCACCAAGCCTCTGTTCCCCATTGCTGGACAGGTAAAATCTTCATGACACCTGTCTGTGCAATTTCCACCTATCTCACTGCTCTGACAGGGCAGAGCTTTATTCTCCTGTTGAGTAGCTGTGTTCACACGGGCTTATGTAAACAAGACTTTACTCAAATGTTTTGTAACTAAAGGATTATTTTATTTGTTTCCCATCCTTTCCTGTGCTACAGATGGACAGTCGGGTTGCAATTACAAGTGCAGAATCTCAGTCCGCCTGCCCTAAAGCTCTGTTCTCTGTCTCATCACAAGTACGCAGCTGTCGGCTTACTCTGCTCCAACAACTTGTAGCTTTACTGCTGGCATGTACCCACATGTGTATAGCTTGCCTGTGGTGTATTTGAGCTATTTTATTTGCAGGAGCTGTTTTAGTTAGAGATGATGAAATCCAGACGTGTATGTGGGTAGAAAATACTTTTAAATGTTTTGTAATTTCTACCAACATGCATTTTTATGCCTTTATTAAATGAGGTTAAAAATCAGCTTTTTACCTCAACAAAATCAGCAACTCATGTGCAGGTTTATAAAGTGGGCTTCTTATTTTTGAACTGCTGCAGGGCAATATAGTACAGCATGCGTATTTTAATTTATTTTAGGTGGTATCTGGATCAGCTGTTTAGCTTTTGAATACACCATGGCCAAGGTTTTATTTTGGTCATACTTTACAGGATATACTCATCAATATATGTAACACTGTTGCCAAGATCTTGTAGAGATCATAAGCGGGTATAGAATCTGATTTGTGGATGTGAAGTTTCTCTGTTGAAATAATGTGCAGTAGAAATACAAATTGGCACAGCCTGACACCCATTTAAAGCCTGTGATTCTGTAGCAGACAAATCCATCTTAATTCTAAAAGACCAATTACAGGTATGTTATGGCACTAACCTCAAAGTATGACTAAAAGTGCCCCTTTGTGGAATTGAGCAGAGACATGTTTTTCTTCTCTCATCCTCAGAGTCAGCAGACAGTGTCCCCCCACCCTCCCTCGTCTGAACCCTCAACGCCCACGTTCCCAGCCTACACTCAGGCCACGGCAGCGGTGACCAGCCCCACTCCTGGCAGCAGTACAGTCTCCAAACCTCCCTCTGCTGTAACCAGTAAGCCTGCCACCCTCACCACCTCCAGTGCAACCAGTAAGTTGATCCATCCTGATGAGGATATGTCACTGGTAAGTAATCCACTTGGAACTGGATCTTTATGCATTTACAGTAAGTAGCTTCACAGTTTGAGTCTGCTAATCATAGAAAAAGTGTGTGAACAATACAAAGACAGAAATAGGCTTTTCATAAATTAAAGTACTTTATTTCTCCTGGTGGAGCAACAGAATTTTACTGTAAAATTATTCCTCTTTATGTTTTCTGTGTCCTGTAGGAAGAGTTGCGGGCTCAGCTGACCAGATACCAATGCAGCGTTCCACACAGAGGCCAGGCCGCCGCCACTGCTCCCTCAGTGGGTCCCGGGGGCGGTTTACTGGCTCCTCAGCAGCCCAGCATGAGGCATCCCATACCTGGTAAGGAACTACATAAAAGCTTTACGTTGTTCTGCTTTACTTCTTAAAAGCATCATTATTGTTTAAATCATTTTCAAAAATTTTCTTTGTAAGTGCTATATTCAATGCTGAATGCTACTACATTGTTAGCCATGACTGAAACAACTATTGGATGGACTGACTTCTGTGCACACATTTATGGTCCCCACAGGATGACCCTCTGACATTTTTCCAAAACCACAGTTAGTAAATAGTGTTCATGTCAACATCCAATTTGTAATTAGGTTCAGACTTTAAAAATCAGAATTCACATTCTTTCCAGTGACCCTAATCTTCCTCCATACTTTGCTTTTCAGCCATTTCCATATTTGTTTCTAAAGCTGAATTTTATACTTTTGCATCACTGCCCATACGGGTAACATGCTTTAGGAGACAGTTGCCTAGCTGTTGTGTTTATACTTGTATAAACATCAACATTCTAACTAGGGGACGCTCACATCAAAGTACAGAAAAGAAGAAAAAAATTGGGAGACAAACTGTAGAGATTTTGAGCCAGTCTCAGTTATTTGTCCTACAATTGGTATTACGCCAGGTTTTCCAGGTGAGAAAGCAACCACATCGATTGACAATATGTGATCAGTCCAGCCAAGTAAAACTTTCAAGAGGTTCTCATCCTGGAGCAGAGTTTTGTACCCAACTACTCTGCATTAAAGTCAGATTTTTGATGAAAAAAACCTTTTTTTTTTTTTTTTAGAATTGTCATTCAGTGCAACAAAACTTAAGTAGAATGTAGATGCTAATTTAGCTTTTTGATTAAAAAGCCAACAAACCTGTTTTCTTGCAGGTCAGTATGGTGGTCCACCACAGGGGATGCCAGGCTACATGCCTCCGCTTGGACAGGCCTCTTCTGTGGGTCCATCAGCGTACCAGGGAGCCCCTCCACTGCCACCACCGATGGGTGTGAGACCCCCTGTCATGTCTCCCGGAAGCCGCTACTGAAGCCCGTCTTCCTCTCTTCTATAGGTTTGGACACTAAACCCTTTTTTAATGTGCTGAGTAAACAAACCAGTACTGGTGTTATAGTAACACGACGTCCTGTTTTTCTACTACTGAGCTATGAGGAAGAGAGACTGAATAGAAAAGCATCAGAACGCATGGGAAATGTGTAGTGTTCCTTAACCCCAACTCAACTGTGTTTCAAACCATCTCTGTTCTGTGGCTTTTTTCCTTGTCGTGTTTCATTTAGGTGTGTAGAAGTTAGTAGATATGGTTCGTATTGTTGTGAAGGCGCTGGAGTTACATGGGCAGTACCCACCCTATATCAAGGCAAGTTTGATGTAAATACATTTCTGTTCCAAGCTAAACAGTGAGGCCTTCACAGCACCTAGTGCTGTTGGACTTTGTGTCCCCAACTTTGTTTGGTGAGGGCTTCGAGTAACTGATTCTGTTTTGTGTTAATTCTGAAGAAATATTCCCTTAACTTTCAAATGGCATCTGTACTGTTGTAAAACTGTAATAAAATGTGGCAAAGATGCAAGACTCTTCTTTACGGGACATCAGTGGGGAAAGAGACGTCACAGCAGGTTTGTACTGCAGTAAAACTACAGGGTGACTGGTTTTGTTGTCTATTAACAGAAATGCTGTGGAGTTCAAATTTAAAATGCTGTTATATTTTGACTGAGTAACATTTTTAAACTGTTGCTCTGTACTTGGCACTGGCAGACTGGCCTTTGACACTCAGTGCTTTGTACAGCTGCATAACGTGGGGTCACTAGTGGCTGTAGTGCTAAAACCCAGATTTCTCTTCTCCCTGTAGCAATGCCATGGGGACTGGCTGAGGCCCTGTCTCAGTGTAGCCCTGTTTCAGCCTGAGGCAAGTCTCACCGTTTTCTCTTTCATTCATTACCAGGGGCCCTCACAGCTTACACGCTGTTGGATCTCCATGTCCCCAAACTTGCAAGTTTGGTGAAGGCCCTTGTTTGTGTTGTTCCGTTTAGGCATCATTTAGCTCATTGATTATAGTTTAAGCTCTTATGCCAGTGAACCTGCATCTTCCATTAATTACTGGTGAGTGCATCAGAAAACTATTTTCATTTAGCAGCACTACACTGACTGTATAGATCTTTTTCATGTTTAGAAGCTGATGTTTTGGCCAAAAGTCGCATTATTAAACTGGTACATATTAACAGTCTGTCACCTGCAGCCATGTGTACGGCAAACTGTGTACTGGGAGGTGTGTGCTGAACAAATGGCTTTTCATGTGCTTGTTAAATGACTTTGCCACTTAATCCTATTTGTTTCATCAGCTTTCCTCACTTGATCATTTGAATTTTACTTACATGAAGGAGAATCTCTGCCAGTAACAGGTTAGTTAAAGCTGTAAGTACTACTGCTATGATTTTAAGTTTGTCTACCTGTGTTTTGTGTGCACATGTTAATATTGTCAGTTTTCTTTTTTTTTTTACACAAAAAGGAGCCCACAATGATTAAGCATTCAACACTAATGGAAGCCACTCCATTATAATGCCTAGTTAATACTTGTGTAAGACTTTTTTCCTGCTGCTTCTACAGAAGTGCATTCCATTAAAGAAAAATACTGGAAGCTCTTATCTTGTAATTATGACTCCGTATCTCATCATAGTGAGCCCTTTCTCATAGTTATGAGATAATGCAGGAGTTGAACACTGCAGAACTTTCCCAAGAATCATCAGGCTTGAACAAATTCTTTGTCAGAGTAATAGAGTTGTCAGTACATCCAATAGTGCATAGCCTAAGTGAACTGTTTGGCATATTTGGTTTTCAAAAACCAACAAAAATGGGCTAAAAACAGGCCTCCAAGTTGCTGCCTACAGTGTAACTAAATATGTACACATACTGAGCAGCTTCAGAACCTGCTTAAGAAACACTGGGTTTAAGGTTTCTTCAGTAGGCCATTTACATAATTCTGACAGCACATCCAACAGCCTACATAGCAAAATTAAACTTCTAGTAGACAAATTGGTGTAGTGCCCCCTCCCCCCCCAAAAAAAATACATCCCAAGCTTTAAAACAAAAAACACTGTATCCATGGCAACATTATGTAGCTTATAGTCTACTTTCTGTTTCTTGTCAAAGCTTAGGCCTCTGTTTGCATGAGTTATGACTGTTAAATGCTTGGTTTGTGGAAACAATTTTTGGTTTTACTCTATGCATTAAACTAACTTGGTATGCATCAGAATGAGTTGAACCATGTCACACTGAATGTATGAACTTTCAGCTTTTCTGCACAGCAAGATGTAGCATAAACGGTCCTTGAAAGAGCTACTCCCTCATTAACATCTCTCTCTCTGTACTAGGACCTCTGTCTAATGAGGAACACATGTGCATGAATGTTATCAGTCCACATTCCTTTCTTCTGATGCTTCCAACCCCTGTGTAAGGCTCATATACAGTGGGCACAGAAAGTATTCAGACCCCCTTAAATTTTTCACTTTGTTATATTGCAGCCATATGCTAAAATCATTTAAGTTCATTTTTTTCCTCAATGTACACACAGCACCCCATATTGACAGAAAAACACAGAATTTGACATTTTTGCAGA